GAACTTGAGGAAACACCTCGTTAAACATAAAATATATTTACGGAAGATAAAGGTTCGGTGTTTGACAATTGGCGCGCCACAGTTAAAACTACAGCCCCAGCTACAGCGCCTGAACTGACAATCCGTGCAGCCAGCATCGACATCGAGAACATCGAAACTACGCCATCTACAACTTCTACTGCAGCTTCAGGTAATAAGTGAACTATCAGTTTTAATTATTGTTCGGGGATATTTTTTTTAAATAAAAACTGTAATAAATTGATATTGTAGTTGTAACATAAGAACAGCAGCTTGTGCGTTGTGTGACACTGCCAATTTTGTTCTCTTGCTTGTCTTCCTTAAAAAGAATTGTTAAAATAATGTTTCTGGTCACAGTTGTGTGGTCTGTTTTAGGAAGAGTTTGTTCAAAATAAATACAGTGGTACCTTGGTTTACGAGCATAATTCGTTTTGGAAACATGCTTGTAATCCAAAGCACTCGTATATCAAAGCGAATTTTCCCATTAGAAATAATGGAAACTCAGATGATCCGTTCCACAACTCAAATGATGATCATGTGCAGTGAGTAGTGGATGTTGGTCACAGAGCAATGATATTGCACAGTTATTATCAATACCATTTAGATATTGGATATTGCACAGTTGGTAGAAGGAAGTCCAGGGGTTGGGGGGTTAGACTGTGTAGTCTATTGTCCAGTCAGTGCACGTGTAAGTTTAAAGTGGTTATGGCTTTCGGGAAAAAACTGTTCTTGAGTCTGTTTGTCCTAAGTGTGAAGCACCTGTAGCGCCTCCCTGAGGGCAGCAGGTCAAACAGATCAGAGCCAGGGTGGGAGCTGTCAGGGTGGGAGCTGTCAGGGTGGGAGCTGTCAGAGTGGGAGCTGTCAGGGTGGGAGCTGTCCTTGATGATGCTTTTTGCTCTGCTGAGGCAGCGGGAGGTAAATATCCATCAGGGAGGGGAGAGGGCAGCCGGTGATCTTCTGTGCTGCCTTTACTACTCTCTGAAGCCTCTCCCTGTCTGCCGTGGTGCAGCTGCCGTACCATACTGTGATACCATACTGTGATACAGTACTATGATACCATACTGTGATACCATACTGTGATACAGTACTATGATACCATACTGTGATACCATACTGTGATACAGTACTATGATACCATACTGTGATACCATACTGTGATACAGTACGTCAGCAGGCTCTCGATGGACGAGCGGTAGAAGGTCAGTAGCAGGTTGGAGTCCAGGTTGTGCTTCCTGAAGACCCTCAGGAAGTGTAACCGCTGCTGAGCCTTCTTGGTAACTGCTGTGATGTTGTCTGTCCAGGAGATGTCAGCTGAGATAAGGATGCTGAGAAACCGGAAGGTATGGACCCTCTCCACACACTTGCCGTTGATGTAGAGGGGGGCTAAGTTGGGGCTGTGCCTCCTGAAGTCGACTATGATCTCCTTGATTTTCTTGGTGTTCAGAGCCAGATTGTTCTTTGAACCCCAGGCTGCCAACTTCAGGACCTCCTTTTTATGTCAAAAATAAACTTCTGGTAACGCTTTACATTAAGTGCACCTTCATAAAGACCTGTTAGAACCTTATATACCTGGATTATGTACCAACTTAGTCTCCTTTGCTTGAGGCTTAACAGATTCAGTTCAGCTAACCTCTCCTCATAAGACATTCCTTTAAGACCAGGAAACATTATTGTAGCCCTACCTTTTCTAAGATACCAATGTCCTTTTTAAGGTACAGTGACCAAACCTGCACACAGTATTCTAGGTGGGGTCTTACCAAGGAATTATATAATTGTAGCATCACCTCTCTTGACTTAAACTCCACACACCTAGAGATGTAACGACACGGGGAGAACATGCAAACTCCACACACATGGAACCCAGGTGGAGACTCAAACCATGGTCCCAGACATGTGAGGCAACAGTGTGAACCACTGCACCACCATGCCGCCCCCCAGAAGTCTCCAGCTTCTTAATTTAGCTGTAATTTTAGTTTAGCTTTAGAAACCCATAGTAATTTTCGCCAACCAGGTGGGTGACTGGTGGTGGGTTAGCGATTGAACAACTACTCCATATGTCAACTATAGATCACATCGCAGGCCCTTCTGTGATTGATTTTTTTTGTAGCTTCCTCAAAGAACTCAAGTAGATTAGTTAAACAGGACCTACCTCTCCGAAATCCATGTTGGCTATCCCTCAGAATGTTATTTGATTCCAGGTTCTTAATTCTCCAGCCATTTTCACTTGGATTATAGTTTCCATTACCTTTCCAGTTATTCAAGTTAAACTGATTGGCCTATAGTTTGCTGGATTACTTCTCTCCCCTTTTTTGAATATGGGTGTTATATTAGCATGCTTCCAATCAGAAGGTACCACACCAGCAGATAAGGATTTCGGAAATAGTAAACTTAAAGGTTGGCTAATAATCCCCTTCATCTCTTTTAAAACTATAGGTAAGATGCCATCAGGCCCCTGAAATTTTTTATTTTGAGCTTAGCTAGGCTTTGCACCACATCAGCCTCCGTTATACATATATTGGTCATAGACGAAGCTGTATTTCTACTAAATGGTAGTAGGTTACTTGTGTTCTCTACTGTGAACACCCGTGTAAAATAATCATTTAACTCATGTACTATATCAATTTAAATTTCAATTATAAGGCCCTTACTATCCTGCAAATTAGTGATTTCAGCTTGGAGTTAAAGTATTTAACTTCAAACTTTTCATGTCATCCTTAGCCTCTGCCCTCCGATGCAATCTTCCTTTCTACATTCCTCTTAGCAAGTCTAATGTTATTTTTTAACTCACTCCTGCTTTATTTTGAAATCATTATTTATTTTCCATTTGTGGAAGAGTGCCATTTCCCTCCTGACTTTGGTTGCAGTTTCCTAGATTTAGTTTTGCTGGAAACAAACAGTCCTCTTGCACTTGCAACAATATGGTTTTTAAAAAATTCCCTTTCCCATTGCCCAGGTGGGCCAGTACTGTGCGAAGTAAAAAGGTGATGACGTCATCAGTGACTCTATTTGGTCGGTATGCAAATTCTGCCAGGTCCAGGTCTTTGTGTAGTGAGACACTTCACAAATATCTCAAAATAGTTTTTGCTTTGTACAACAGGGTGATAATCGTTCAAACAGGGAAGACGTGGCATCTTTGGTACCAGTATGATGGTGGATCGTTTAAAACATGTCGGCATAACAAACTCGGTCAGGGATTGCATATTATTTTGAACACCGGAACTAGCTAGTCAGCACAGGCTTTGAATACTCGCACAGGGATGCCTTCTGGACCTGCTGCCTTCCTGGGGTTCAGTCTCCTGAATGTTCTCTTCAAACCGTGTTCCAAGATGGTGAGTGTGATTTCCTGACCAATGGGAACTCTTGATGCGGGTGAAATGTTCTGTTGGCTGAAATTAGGATGGTTCACCTCAAAGCGTGCATAGAATGCATTCAGCTAGTCAGCTAGCCCAAGGATGTGTCAGCACTCACTGCAGAGGTGACAAACCCTTTGTAATCCATAACTGTCTGCAAACAGATGAAGTAGCTCATTGTGTTAGCACATAACTTCCTAACCCATGAGCAAAGAAAATTTAAATCTGCAGTGAAGTTATAAGATGTACATTATGCTAATTCTAGCTTTGCTTCTCTAATATTATCCATTGAACTTATTACAATGTCAAAGGATAAATCAGGTACCAACACGAAGGTAGGCAAATGACTTACATTGTAGCTCTCTGTGGAAGAACTACCAATCTCTAGTCTAAGGTGCGGAAGGGGAAGTAGGAGGCTTACAGATGCCAGTGAAAATTATAATGGACTTATTGGATTTGCATGTTGGTTTTTTATTGACAAACTACTATTTAAGTAGTTTACTGTTTTGACATTGTTCAAAACAGGATATAGTGGTACCTTGGTTTGCGAGCATAATTCGTTTCGGAAGCGTGCTTGTAATCCATATAGCACTCGTGTATCAATGCGAATGTTCCAAATAGAAATAATGGAAACTCAGGCGATTCGTTCCACAACCCAAAAATATTAGTATAAAAATAATTAATACAAAATATAAAGTAAAAATACATAAAATAAATTAACCTGCACTTTACCTTTGAAAAGAATCGTGAATGGTGTGAGGGAGACGAGAGGGAGAAGAGGAGGGTTATTTTGTAGGACGACTTTAACTATAACTAACGGAATCACTGCTATGTATGTGTTGGCTCACTGGAATCTTTTTCTTTTTGTGCGACCTTAACAAGCAACCTATCCATTGACAGCTGCTTTTGCCTCCTTTTCGATTTCGCGGAAATGTGGACATTGCATTGTCATTAAACAGATTCATCGGTCGCACTGCTACGCCCTTATTCTGGTGGTTTTCTACTAAACTTTGACTATACGAGTGAGGCACGCCAACTGAAACCGAGCATGGGAGACGATTACCCACAATCCCACAGCAAGAGAGAGAGAACCACCATCGGAGTGGTGATCACGTGACGCTTGGCAGACTAAGCGTATATGTAATACTGTACTCGTATTGCAAGACCTCGCTCGTTTATCGTTAAAATTTATTTTAAAATTTTGCTCATCTTGCAAAACATTCGCAGACCAAGTTACTCGCAATCCAAGGTTTTACTGTATGTTAACTTTTTGCTTATGCATCAAAGACATTAATGGAAAAAATGCCATTATACGTATCATACATACCCTTGAAATTAGAATTAATCAAATATTAATTTTATAAAAAAAACATCAGAAAATGTTGTGCAGTATGTTCTACTAAACCAGAAATCTGTGCTGTTGAAATTTAAGACTTTAGTCATATACATTCCAGTACTTCTGAGGAAAATGTTTGGATTTTAGAGCATTTAAGAAAGTGGGCAGCTTTTCTGCACCACGCCCAAATACATTTACACCATGGTCTTTATGAACAAGGCAGCACCAAGGTTGGAGCACTCTGCTTTTTACTTTTCACATGCATGGCAACATGGAAATGTAGACGAATCAATGGCTTTATTTTTCATGGATTTATTGTTGATGCTTTGCCAAGAAATGTGGAAAAACAAAACGGACACCATGCTAGCAGAAAGTTCAGTAAAATTATGAATACAGATTTGGACAGAACATGTGACAGTGAGTGAGAGATCCACAGAACCAGACCACCTCCCCTTATTTTTTAAGAATAGTTCATAAGTTCTCTCATGAGAACATTTTCCTATAAATAAAAACAGATTGTCTTTTTATTTTTTCAGTGTGCAGCACTGGAACAAGATCTTCAAAAACAATATATTGCTAAAGAAACATTAAACGGAAAATGGCATAAATATTACTAACTCAATGAAATGTAATGGCTTTCCCTTGCACAAATAAAACCCATTAAACAAAACATAGCTATCAGGTAACTAATGGCATTGCAAGCTTTGACAGTGTCTCAGGCTGACCCATATTAGTAAAACATATCTTGTCTCAGAGAATAATGCTATTTTACAGTATGATACCTAACATTCTTAACACAGTTTTATATTTTTGTTGATATGAGGGTAAAAAACACCCAATTCTGTGGTCTCCTATAAATATAGTAACAACTAAAGCGTTACCTTCAATATGAGCCTATAGTCAATATCTTTCAATATGTGAAACTATTCACAAAGTATCACAGACTTATTGCTTTGTTTCATGTTGAATTACAAGTGTTTCTGAAAGTTAAGTACCCTAGAGCGATGATACTGGAAAAAAGATGCTATATAAAAATCAATGAAAAGGAATTTTTTTTTTTTTTTTACAAAAAATGCACTGAAAAATAACAAACTACAAAATATTGAATATTTGTTTTATACCTTGTGTCATACACTATACACATCACATACAATATTCTTGTGTGTACTGAAGTTAAGTTGTGTTCTTGCCCTCTTCTGCTCTTTTAAAAATTTCATGTGTATGTGAATGTATTTATTCAGTTTACTTAACTGAAGTTCATGTTTTTTTTGTTGAAAACATGCTCAATTATTTGCAATATTTCTAAATGACAAAAAAAAGCTAAAATACAAAAGCAGGAAAATAGACGAAACAGCACTAATTTTATATAAGGTTTTCGATTTTATTTTATGAAGACCAACGTTGTTTAAAAAGCAAACCACAAGAAATGTTTCAGGGAAGCTGTCCAACAATTTGACCTTCTCCAGCACTACACCAAATTGCAAATTCTGCTTATTCATCCAATAAGTCACATGTAGATATGCAATGTTCACACAACATTGCTTTCATTTTAATTGCAGAAACCACTTTAAAGAGTAATAACTTTTTCATACTAATTAAAACCAATTTAAGGTTTCAATGTGTAGTTCGATAACCGTGTATGAGTAGTGGTCATAGATTGGGACCAGACCATTCATTTAGCATCATTTAATTATATCAAGTGAAACTAGTCTTCTGTGAGGGGGGTGCTTGATTTTACCATTTTTCTCCCTTTTGAAATCTGCAATAATTAGCACAAAATCAGACACCTAAATATTATTTTAAAATATGAAACAAATCTATTATTAAGTGAAGGAAATGTTACTTTTCTGTAATTTATCCAAAAAGTGTCCAGCTGTCAATAGATTTGAATAGATGGTATATGGGCTTTTTTCACACCGGAAAAGTACGGAAGGAAATCCTCATACATCATACAAGCTTTAGGTGTTTATAATGCAAATACATAACCACACGCATAGAAACAAGCGTGCAAGATATGCAGAGACGCAACCCTCCACCAGAGCTCTTTATCTACCACCCCAAATCCGAAGGAGCAGTTTAGCAAAAGCATAACAGTACTTTCTTCTCCAAGCCGGAGCAGCCATATTGTCTGTTTTAGCACTCGTCAGTGTGGATGCAGATGTCTATGAGAGCTTTGCAAAAAAATAAAAACACATTTGCTGTGGAATATGTTTGAAGACGATCTCATTAGGGCAGTACAGAGATTACTACATTCAGCTGTTAAATGGCATTTTACTAAGTATTTATTTTCATAGTAGGTTCTATTTCTCCAGTGTTTCTGCAAGATTAAAAATATGTGAGCATTCACCCAAAAAGCGGAGGGCCATCCGCATGTCTGCATCTGCGTGTCTAGGCTTCCTGTCTCATTCTCGCTGACGTGTCTGTCTGTCTCTATATGTCTGTCTGTCTGTCTTTGGGTCAAACGGATGGGCTGGCAGGCTGGGTCTTGCGCTTCAGCAGATACTCGTGGATGTCGTCAGCGTCACGCTTGAGCCAGGCGGCGTTCAACAGGATGTTCTCACAGCACTGCTGGATTGTGCGCTCGGCTGCAGGCGCTTGGTGGCTCTCGAAGAAACTCTGCAACACAGCAACATGACATGCTTTTGGCAAACTACTGCAATGCACTGACATGATGCCAGCAGAAGAAAAGTAAACCAGGAGACAGTGCTCATTGACATTATAGATCCATCAATAGGGTTCTATTACAGAGCTCAATGCTGCTGTCAGCACAACAGTTAAGCATTTAACATAAAATATGTTTCTAATCAGTGTAAATGTAATTCTCATTGACCTAGTTGTGAAATTTGATGACCATTTAAAAAAGATGACAATCTTTCAGAAGCCATCAGCAAAAGGAGCAGAACCAAAAGTCTCCTAAATGATGGTCACCCCAAACCCATCCTCACCTTTACGTCAGCAGCCATCTTGTCCACCGCAAATCCATCAACAGAAAGCTGTTTAATAAAAAAGGCACCCAGCTGTTATTTCAGGTGTTGTACCTTAACTGAAATTATGTACAAACCCCATTTCCAGAAAAGTTGGGATATTTTCTAAAATACAATTAAAACAAAAATCTGTGATATGCTAATTCATGTGAACCTTTAATAATATTTATTATAAAGCTATTTCCCTCCCTCCATCCACCCATCCATCCTCTGCAGCTTATCCTGGATCGGGTCACAGGACAGCAGTGTAGGCAGGGATACCCAGACCTCTCTCCCACCAGCAACCTCCTGTTACCAAGGCGTCCCCAGGACAGCCGTGAGATATAATCTCTCCAGCGTGTCCTGGGTCTGCACTGGGGCCTCCTTTTAGTTGGACAAACCCAAAACACCTCCCCAGGGAACCATCCAGGAGGCATCCTAGATATGCCCAAACCACATCAAGTGGCTCCTTTCGATGTGGAGGAGCAATGGCTCTACTTTAAGCCCCTCCGGAATGTCCAAGCTCCTCACCCTTTAATCTTTATGCCTGACCCTGTGGAGGAAACGCATTTCTGCCACTTGTATCCGTGATCTCATTCTTTTGGTCACTAACCAGAGCTCATGACCATAGGTCGAAAGCTTCGCCTTCCAGCTCAGCTCCCTCAACAGAAAGGTACAGCGTCCACATTACTGCAGACACAACACCGATCCATCAGTTGATCATCTGGTCCTTTCTTCCCTCAATTGTGAACAAGGCCCTGAGGTACTTAAACTCCTCTGCTTTAGGGCAACCCATCCTCTACCAGGAGAGGGCAATCCATCCTTTTCCGGTCGAGAATCATGGCCTCAGACTTAGAGGTGGTGATCCTCATCCCGGCCACCTCACATTACGCTAAAACTTTTTCAAAATGAATGGAGATGTTCAGGTAAAATTTTTATTGTGCTGACACTGACAGAACCTTTGTTAAAATGTAAAACTTGTAAATAATGTTCCATTAATGTTACAGTAAGAACGTTCTCTGCCTACTTTGAGAAGACCTTCATATAACACAGACTAAAGTTCTCGGAAAGTTCCCTGATAGCTGAAATTACCTTGATGAGTCGGGAGATGAGAAAGCCACCCTGGTACCGGTTGTGGAGCTCATCCCAGTTGTCTTTCACAAACTTCCAAGCAGCTTTCCGGCCATGTTTACTACTGCTGGCTACACCCCCGATTACAGAAACCGTATCTTGGGGACGCACCTCATCCTACGAGGCAGGTAAACACAAAGTAGACATGCAAAAATACTGAATAAATGTAAAGTACTAATCAAAAGTTTGGACACACCTTGTATTTCAAGAAGATAATGACCCTATGCACAACTCGAGGTTTTATAAGTATTACATTATCTTGGGATCAAAGAAAGAGTGCTGCGACAGATGACCTGGCCCCCATTATCCACCCACCTATACCCCAAAGAGCTGGTTTGTGATGAGCTGGACAAAAGAGTAAGAGCAAGGTAGCCAACTTGTGCTCAGAAGCATTCCAGGTAGCTACATCTGGAAGCTGTTTGAAAGAATGCCAGGAGTCTGCAGTAATGTCATCGAAGCCAAAGGGGGCTATTGTGAAGTGTCTAAAAGTTGAGAAAATTGAGATGTTGAACGGTTCTTTTTGTTGCAATATTTGATATCTATTACCTCATTGTCAGGAAGCTTCCTACAAGGTGAATAAGATAACTAATACAGAGACAAATACAATTTGGCACAGTGGCCTTTCATTAGTGTTACATTTACATGAGGGAGAAGTACACTAGGATGATTATTTGACGTAATCGACGATGTTGATTATAAAAATGCGTCGACGTGGAATTTTAGTGTCGACACATTGTGTAAAACTACGTAAATGTTTCGTAACGGCAATGCACTAAGTGATAAGCTAAACGTATTGTAAGGGAAAGTACTTTATCCCCTCGGGAGCACGTTAACACTGTCCTGATAATAATAATCATCACTTTATTAATTTATAATTTTTTTTTTTTTACGCCTCCCTCAACTTGCTCTTTGTAAGCAAGCTGTCCGTGAAGGGCAGCCACCCGTAGCGGCACCCAGGGAGCTGGGGGTTAAGGGCCTTGTACACCTGATGATGTCTTCACCACTCAAGAGCTACAATATTTCATTTATTGGACCTGCAGCATGGTTTTCATTTACAATACAAAGTTATTCCACTAATAAGCTGGCTAGTTGTTTCACTTCTGACACCGTTAAAACTATTTAAATTCCGATACAGTTTTGTCTAGTATCGCCAGTGCCAGCAGTGCCACACTATTTGTAAAGCATGCAGTGGCCAATCATGCACCACATCTCTCACCACCCTGCAAAAAGGAAATTTTCCGCCTGTCCCGACTCCTTGCGCAAGAGGCAACATGGCTGCATCTGCCAGCAGAGCTCTGGAGCCTCTGGAGAAACACGTGGCAAGAAAGGCTCGCACACGGTCTTCCAAAGTTTAGGAATACTTCAGTCATGATACCTTTTCTGCAGCTCTACTGTAGCTCACGTTAATGACGCTGTTTCAGCCGTCTTATATTTCTGTCATGTAAGAGTGAGACAAATTATCGTTTACGACTATTTACACACTGTAGCCTAAATCGTTTCTTGCTCACTGAAGTAAGTTTAACTATAAGCTACCTTTACTAGTATTTGTTAAAAACATGTTTCTCTAGTTATGAAATCATTCCATGTTTTAGCATGTTTCAACATTAAGGTCAAATTGGTGTACTGAAGTAATTAAGTAAAAACTATTGCAGTGATTAACTTCAGTCTAACATAGAAATCCTATTGAGTTTTTGTTAATAATGTTTGAAATGTTTTAAACTGAAATGTTAATGAGAATTTCAGATTTGTGTGTGTGGGGAAGGGGGGTGAATAGTTGTGTTAAATGACTAACTTGAAAATAATTGCTTATCAATAAATTTATCATCAGATCAATTTAAAAATTAGTTGTTAGATTAGTCGATTAATTGAAAAAAATAATCGGCAGATTAATCGTTTAAAGAATCATCGTTTGGGACAGTACAAAAGCATACATACCGACAGGGCAAAGGCCAGGACTTTCTGGATCAGCTCTGGGGAGGAGATGGCCCCTAGTACTCTTTCAATGCGATTTTTCTCCTCTTGCATATCTGCCTGCTTGTGCAGCTGGAGAAATCAAAAGTGAATTCAACCATCAGGTGAACAAATTTAAATTTCACAAACTGTCAATCACAGCAACTCCAAGAATCCTGATATTTATAATGAAACCAAAACATGTTGCAGTAATAGTGGGACTTTACCGAAAAAAAAATTGTAGATTAACCATATACCTTCATCATTGTGTCCAATGTCCCACTGTCCCCGTGCTTCAGGACGGTCAGATACACCTAAAGCAAAATGTACATACACATTACAATTCTTTTATTAATTTAAAAGAATTGGATTAATTCTAAGAATAAGAGAAATTTTCAAAACATATTTCTAAATGCAGCCCTAAATTAATTTGTTTAGAGCCCCAAGCAAAGTTACTTCACAAGGCTGCTGGCTAACTTTTCCACTAGTAGCACTGGTGTTCCTTACTGGAAAATTTAGGAGCACCACCACAAAATTTAGGCACACCACTTAAATTGACATTACAACACATTCATATTTTTTCCATCTTAACTGTATTACTGACACATGCTTTGGTAATAAACATACAATTTACAGAAATAATGTGTTGTTTTATTTTAAAGGAAAGACACAGAGTGAAGTAGTGCTTTAAGAGAAAAAAATCATTTTGTTAAATGTTTTTTTTTTTAAATACCAAAGTTCATTTCAATGTCACAAAAGGGCCACGTTTTTCGAAATGAAGATAGTAGCTTGGGTTATGTACGTATAAACAAAACATTTAATAGTAGTAGGTGATATCAAATTTTTGATACCGTTCTGACATTCACTTGAGTATATGGTATTTTAACTATTAAAAAGCAACGTTATTCTGGTATTTTGAAATCTCCCAAGATTATGGCAGGGTGTCGTTCAAAATTTTTCGATACCAGTAACAGAACGATACCATGATCTTGATACTGAGTCCTGAACAATACTTTGTTTGATACCAATATGTTTTAAAATCAGTTTCAACAACAAGAATTCATTAAACGCTACAGTACTAATCTTTTATTTGAACAAGTTATTTTGTTAGCTATTGATTAGTTACTGGGGGGATTGGTCGCGATAAATAAAGGACTTCGCCCCATTATGATATTTTACCAGGGTTCTCAAGTTTCATCAAAAGTTTGGAGTGAGATTACATCTGTTAGGGGCACAGCATGCATCTCACGGTCATGCGTGACACTTGTGAGCCCTGCTTTATGCAGACAAAGAGACAGTAACCAGAGGTATAAAAATGCAAAATACACACGAACAAAACAGTATACGCATATAACATTATTATCATACATATATTGCAATATAAAAGTATGATTATTACATGTTATAAATGAATATAAATGAAATGTAAATGTGAAGTGGGAGAAACAGTGCTCCCCTTATTCACGTTGGTGTGTTTATCAGCGGGTATGAACAAATCTTATTAATATTACATTCTGAATCAGATATGTATGATTCCGATTACCACCTTGAACGTGCAATATTAAAATAGGATCCAGAAAGATCTTAACATAGTGGAAGACATTATGGCAGAGTGTGAAACTGATTGTTCCCTCATCAACTGGTCAGTGATCATCTTCTTCATCTTCTCCCAAAGCAGCCAATCATGGGATTCAAAGTGACCAATCAACGAAGTGGAGAAATTAGCCATTGTTCCTGTCTCCAAAGTCTCAAAACTCAATCTGTCAAGTGAATGAATGTTTGTGAAGACACGAGCGCACAGAGAGGGTCCAGCAAACGTGAGCACATAGAGAGAATGGGTTTTCTGTTCGTGAGCGCATACGCGCGTGTGGGTTTTACGCACATGAGTTTTGAGATTAATTAAACACCATAATTTCAGTCGGTACCACAAAAATACAGAAGTTTGGTAGCCAGCCTAACCCAAGGAAAGGAAATTCTGGGGTATGCTGTGATGTGCCTAGTTATAAAATGTAGTTGTACTGTTTCCAAAAAGGATCGCAAAATGCAACTAAATGGTCGCAGTCTGGGGCAATGCTTCACTATATTGGAAGATTACAGGTTCTGATGCTGCCTTATTTTCTATATGGATTTCACACTATCCACTCTAAACGTGTTTAACCCACATCACAAAGTTCCCAGGCTATTATAAAGTTTACATAATTTGCAATAATTCATTTATTTGATTTTTACCATTTGCAACTGCATTTATTACACAATGATAAAAGGTCCAGTTCTTTCACAAGATCAAGTGTCTTCTATATTTGCCCTTTCCTTCCCTTTCTGTTAAACAGAACTTCTGTTTAATTTCTGGGGTAATAGGTCTTAAAATTTGATCAGTTCCAGCATGTCATGCATACAATGTCTCTGCCAAGTTTAAAAAAGATCTGTAAAATCTGTCATTTTAATGAGAACATGCCTGCGATGGCAGCGGCTGACCAGTCCCAAAAACACAAGTACTGCCAATCCAGGGAATACAATAATTCAAAGGCCTTAAACACTCCTGGAAACACTGTAAAGACAATCATTACAGAAACATGTCAATGGAACCACCTATCGGTCTGTATCACTAGTTGCAATCAAGAGATTAATTGCAGAAGCCACCAAAATCATCAATGTAGAAGCCTTTGGTAATTTGTGTATGTTACAGTATCACAGGCTTTACACAAATCTAGGAGGGAGCCAAGAAAATCTCCTCATGAATCTTCACTTAAGGCCTACAAAACATATGCAGATCTGGAGTCATGTGGAAACTTACAGAAAAGTAGTCGAAAATGTAATGCCTGCATAAAAATGTTTATCACTGAAACAGCACCACCTCAAGTTCTCTTCAAGGGGAAGGAAGCTTTTGTGAGAGAACATGGGAAGCTGGATGGTGCAAGAGAAACAGTCAGTGGTAGAAAACCTGCAGTTCTCTGCCAAAACACTGGGGGCACACTAAGCAAAGGCTAAAAAAAACAGAAGTCTAGAATATTTTTTTCTTTATTTTAGCTGAAAAACGACATGTTTGGAGGGGGGACCTGAATTGCATTCTTTCTGTGGTGATATTTGAATAATTCAACTGCAACTCACTTACCAGAAATCATGACCAGCTTACTCAAGATAATCCACAGACATTGTAGTGAGCAGTTTACTGTAGGAACTATTTTCTTCTACCAAACTCTACACACCAATCATATCACTGTGCAGAAGAAAGCACTGGGGTGCTTCTGCTCGTACCTACTGTACAGTGATATGACTGATGTGTGGAGTTCGCTACTGTACAGTGATATGACTGATGTGTGGAGTTCGGTAGAAGCAAATAGTTCCTATATTAAAGGCTTCACTGCAAAGTCTATGGACTGCCAATTCTGACTATTTTCCACAATTCCTATGTTATTTCTCATAATTCGGAGTTGTTTTCTGACCAACTAACCAACATGTAGCTGGAGCCATTACTTCTGCTCTCACTTTAATGTTTCAATGAAATGCATGTACAGTACCAGACAGGAACGATGGCTACAATGCATGTCTCCCCTGCCCAATATTTCCAACTGTGTGTACATGAGTGGTAGCCTACATCAAAACTTTAAACGATAATTATCTTGTAAATGTTAACCAGGTTTGAAATGAAAGTGGTGGGAACGGGCTTCCATACATTACACACTAATCATAAGGCATAGTGTCTTTTATAACTGGTGTGTAAGTACATGTTAACTAAAAACAAATGCAGGTAAGAGTCACGGCACCATTTTGTATCATATCAAGAACAAATAATGAGTGCATTTGCACTGTTTTTGTGTCTGAATACAGATCTGAGAATTATAAGCTGATAGCTCGCTGATCATTCAGAAAATACCCAGAGACAGTCTGGACTCACATGATGCATCTTAACTATTCACTCAGCTGAACTAATGAAACGCACAGTTCTCTGTTAAGGAAAAACCTTCATCATAATTATACATGAAAGGTGAACTTACTGGACTCCTGAGGTCAGCAGAGAGGGTGTTTTTGCCCTCCACGTGGTCCTTGAACCGTCGACGAGCCTCTTCCAGTGTGGGTTTGTGTCCTGCCTTTCCGAGCTTCCCAAGAACGAGCCCTCTGAGCAGGGCATCTAGATGGCCTTTGGAAGCAGAGGGAGAGATCATGTGCGTTTACACATAGCTGATGCGAACTTAAGCCAGAACTTAACAAATCACTAATATGTGCAATATGTATACTCAAAACAAACATGAACTAATAAAAAGCATAATGAAAAAATGTTATTGATATTATTAATATCGAGCATATACAACTACACTAAAATTAGGTTTTCATCTTAGGTTGAATGAACTTACCTTCCCCTTGTTTACTATCCCAACCCAAGTTTTCTCCAACCGGGGTAAAGAGATCACGGATTAAATCCTGTATTTCCTCATGGAAATCCGTATGAGAAAGCAGTGAAGACAGCACACCAAGGTTACAGCTCAGGTCACTCCACACTGTGTAGTTGGGCTCATTAACAAAAGCTTCCATCAGCTTCAGGACCTCGACGGTGCTGATCATGCCAGCGCGGGCCTGAGAAGAGAGAGGAAAGACAATTCAGTCAAAGCAGATCCAAGACAGAAAGGGGGAGCCAATACATGTCTGCAGCAAGATGGCTAACTACACACTGGAGATATAAAGAACATGAGAAAGTAAGTTGCTTACAAGCAGGGATTAAATCAGAATCAGAGAATCATTTGTCGGTTGTTTTACCACTTTAAAGCAAATCAAAATAAACTGAGAAATGTGAGTAAAAAGTTATATTTGATAGCTGTATTGTACATATCACATGGTTAAATTGTACTTTGAATTTTTTTTAAACATAAAACATATGTAACTGAAACTTAAAAATGCTTCATAATGCCTTATTACCACAACTAATGTTCTTGTTTATTCATTCATAAGTTCCCAATGAAAATGCATTAAAATATCAAGTTATTCAAAGATTACTTCTTACACACGTCTGACATCCAGCACAGTTTAGCTAGTAAGGGAAGTTTTGGCAGCAGTACAGTAAACGAAATAAGTCAAAATACAAAAACACGGGACAGAAATCACTGCGTCATGTAGTAATATCTCATCTACTCAAGAAATTAATGTCTGGTCAGTATGGATGGGAAGATATGCTTTTTTTCTTGATACAACTCAATACACGATATAGGGTTCACAATTTGATAATACTACAATACAGATGTTGCTTTCACTTAGAACTGCAGCATACAGAGAGCAACATTTCTCTATGCAACCTACCACTGAAGAAATCGAACAGCATAAGAGACTGTCGTTTTGTATACTTAGTTAGTTTTTGTCTTGACAAAGACAAAACTATTTTCATAGTTTTTTCAAAACATATTTCAAAATCACTATTTTCATTTTACTGAAAAGTATGCAACATATGTCATTTCGCTACAAATTTTGAATAATATTTTTCACTTGAAGTTATTTTTGGGAGACAACTAACCATAATTCTCACGGACAGGGTTTATCTGTCTAGGTATTTTTCAGTGAACACTGGGAAAGACTTTTCATTAATGATTTCATTAAACCAGAAACGATCTGTGCAAGACCTCCTGTTACAGAACCTACTAAAACACTTCACATTACCAATAGGCGGTGCAGAGCCCAGTCACACTAAGTTACTGCTGTGTGAAAAAACATTGAATTACTCGAGATAGATTTGAGAGAGTAAACCAGAACAAAGAAATACTTATACAACTTATACAAACAACCCCAGCATGGATAAAACCGAAGCACTGGGGGGGACCAACATCAACGATGCACCAGATACAAAATGATAAAGGATAAATTTCACCATCAGCCAACAGGAGAGGGAATTGTATTCTTCTTCTAGTAAATAAAATGAAAGAAAAATTCTCAAATTTTCAAAGTTGTATTACTGTTTATATAATTGTGAAAAAGATCAGCCAAAGAAAGATAAGCCAGGATTTTAATGACTGATTCCACTAAAGTACTCACCAGGGAAAAGAGGTCATTTTGAAGACCAAGTCGATCCACAGGAAGCAAAGTCAAATCTCGAATGGCTGGCAATAGGCTTTCCAGCATTGCTGAACTGTACTGGACCCGGTAGAACCCCACCGTACCAGGGTTGATCTTGAGAAGAGATCCAAAAACCCACAAACCACAATGTAATGCAATAAAACATGTTAACTTCAATATTAATTTTAGTGCTTGCTTTGTATCAGGTTTGCTTACTTTAGCAACTGCACTGCAATAGGACTAGAGGCTGATAGACATCCTCAGTGCAGATGTGTATATTTGTCACGCCACCACAAGCTCATAAAACACTGGATTACCCTGATAAAATACTAAATTTAAGTCTTACAAAACCATTACTACATTTCTCTGAATTTTGGTATAAGACATGCAAATTTTCTGTGAAGTTTGCCAGCAAACATTCCAATTTGATTTAGCAATGTGCATTTACTTTTTGAATATAAATGCATAAGGTCTAGAAAGATGGTGGCACAGGAGGTAGTGCTATCGTTCAGCAACTGGAAGGTTGCAGGTTCGAGCCATGGTTCCTCCTGACCCCATCAAAGTGTCCTTGAGCAAGACACTGAACCCCAAATTGCTCCCGGTGTGCAGGTTGGCGCCTTGCATGGCAGCCTCCGCCACCAGTGTATGGATGCGAGTGTGGATGGGTGAATGTGAGGCATGAGTTGTAAAGCGCTTTGAGTACTCGTAGGAGTAGAAAAGCGCTATATAAATGCAGTCCATTTACCATTTTAAATTTCTGAGGCTAGTTCCTTGCAATCAAGCATTGTTATACTGGCAAAAAAAAAACTGAATGCTGTTTGCACCAAATAAGACTATTTTAAAAAGCAAAGCAATATTAATTTTGAAATTTATGAATAATTTATGCCATGTTATTAATTGGAAAGAATTCCAGATGGCCACCAATTTTTATCATGCAGATGCAACTGACTGAGCAAAAAAGAATGCTCCTAGCTCTCAAGCACTTAGCCTCGACCCTAGAGGTACCCATCTGATCGATCTCGTTTAGTACACTGCCAATTCCTTTCCAAAAAACACATAAGACCCTCTTACCTTCAGCCAGTTGCTGGTTGGTATGTTACTGAGGCTGACTGTTGTCTCTGCACTGTCCAGCAATAAGCTGAGCTTGGTGCAGCTTGGGTCCTCACTGGTGCAGATGCTGATGGGCACCATCCAGGTAGGACAGTTCTCACCTAGAACAAAAACATGCAGGATTGTACTCCAAGGTGAAGTCAATGGACATTAATGTGACAAACAGCTGCTTCTAAATATTGTAATTAATAAAGAAAAACAATCTTGAAATGTAAGTACCAGACTACCCAATATGGACAAAAGTATTGGGGCATCTGGCCATTACACTTAAAGGAACTTTTATGACATCCCATTCTAAAACCATTTGCAACTATAACAACTGCCCTTGATCTGGGAAGGCTGTCCACAAGACTTGAGTGTGTCTGTGGGAATTTTTCCCCATTCATTCAGAAGAGCATTTATGAGGTCAGGCACTGATGTTGGACGTAAAGGCCTGGCTTGCATTCTCTGTTCCAGGTCATCCCAAAGGTGTTTGATGGGGTTGAGGTCAGGGCTCTGTGTGGGCCAGTCAAGTTCTCCACACCAATCACACCCAACCATGTCTTTGTGGACCTTGCTTTGTGCACTGCGGCACAGTCATGTTGGAACAGAAAAGGGCCTTCCCCAAAGTTGGAAGCACAGAATTGTCCAAAATGCCTTGATATGCTCAAGCAGTAAGAGTTCCCTTCACTAGAACTAAGGAGCCTAGCCCAACCCCTGAAAAACAGCCCCATACCATTATCCCTCCTCCACCAAACTTTACAGTTGGCACAATGCAGTCAGTCAGGTAATGTTCCTCTGGCAACTGCCAAACCCAGACTCGTCTATCAGATTGCCAGACAGAGAAACATGATTCGTCACTCCAATGCAGTCAGTCAGGTAATGTTCCCCTGGCAACTGCCAAACCCAGACTTGTCTATCAGACTGCCAGACAGAGAAACATGATTCGTCACTCCAATACAGTCAGTCAGGTAATGTTCCCCTGGCAACTGCCAAACCCAGACTTGTCTATCAGACTGCCAGACAGAGAAACATGATTCGTCACTCCACAGAGCAAGTTTCCACTGCTCCAGTGTCCAATGATGATGAACTTTACACCACTACTTCTGATGCTTGCCGTTGCGCTTAGTGATGTGAAGCTTATTGCAAAGCTGGCATCCTATGACAGCACCACGCTTGAATTCACGGAGCACTTTAGAACAACCTATTCTTTCACACGTTTGTGAACCAGACTGCATGGTTAGGGTGCTTGATTTTATATACCTGGGGCTAATGTCAAAAAAATCGATTCTCAGATATTAATCAATACTAAAATTTAGTATCAAGTTCGATATCAATTAGCGCTGGTATCGATACTTAAATGCCAGTTTTGCATCTGCAAGTTTATGGAAAAAACCGGCAGACAACAATTTTCAACAGGCATTGCAGCGGGCAATTCCTCCCCCGACAACGGATACCTGGAGGACCCATTGTTTTACATGAGTGACACACTTTAAACATGGCAGTGGGCGAAAGCAGCTCCAGCTTTAGTTCTGCAGCACCAAGCTTGATAGAGAATGTAAAAAGCAGGAGCACTATGGAGTTAATTTTGTGCCAAAAGTATTAATCAAAATTTTGAAAACCGCAAGCAAATCATTAAGTATCAGAATGAAAATATGTTTTCCAAATATCAAAAAAGTTGAATAAAATAATTTTTTCCCTTCTTCTCTAATTTGTTTTGCTTCTGGAATGCTTTTCTTTGCTTTTGAATTTTTTTTTTGCTTCTGGAATGCTTTTTTGCTTCTAACTTTTGGCACTGTTTTAACGGGTGGGCGGGCCTTAGCAGCTTACACGTCTATTGGTCAGCCGGAATTTGGAGTGAACACGCCTTTAACCATCTGAGCACGCCCACTCCATGACGCATCAGAACATCGCAACATGGCGGGAAGCTCCGGAGCCAGTTTACAGCATGGAATTGCATCTTTGTAGTTCTATAATAGTGTACTTTTATTAGGAATCGCTGTATGCAACACATACTTCGCGTTCATAAAATGTCACCAACCCATCCAGTTCAGTAACTTTCGCTATTCCACCAACGCGCTGATCAGGGAAGTTGAACTTAAGTTAATTTCTGACTCCCACAATTTGCAGTGAAATGGATCCTTTGGCTTGGTGGAAAATGCACCCGGTTAACGTTCATGAATTAAGCAAGCTAACCAGGAAGTTTGTGTGTGCCTGCCACAAGTGCACCTTCTGAAAGACTAGGTAGTGCATCAGGGAATGTTGTGATGTGTCAGAGTTCATCTTTAAAGCCAAGCAAAGTGGACACACTAGTGTTCTTGTCCAAGAATCTGTGATTCAAGGACTTATGTCACACCCTGAAATAAATCTATTTTAAGGAAAGATCAAGAGGAATTGTGTTAAAAGCAAAGTGCAATGTTTCATTTTGCCTCTGATAAAACGTTTATTTTTACGTTCTTCTCTTTGTGATGCCATTTTCAGATTCTTGAAAATTTGCAGGTCTTAAGTAGGATGAAGTTCTGACATTTATTTAGATTTCCACTACTGCTGGAAACAACTATTTGAAATATATTGCAGCATTGCTTTTTGCACAAATAATTGTTCAATTTTAGTAGTGGGGGAACTACTCAAACAATTTACCTAAATAAAAGTAGAAAAAAACAAGCAAAAGTACTCTAGTACAAGCTGAAGTACCCCATTGGCCTTCCTATTTAATTAATTTCTTTTAAATATTGTTAAAGTATTAGAGTAAAAGTCCTTGGACTTGTATTCCGTGATTCAACTATAACATGACAGTTAATGTATTTTGTTAAATACAAAAGTTCAGGCATGACGGTTCTGTATTTACCAAACATTGAAAAGATGAAATACTAGTTCTATCAATCCATCGATGAAAACTTTAAACACTTTTGTCAGGACATTAACATGCTATTCACAATTCACCAATAAGTCAGCCTGATCACAAACATCCAAGGATCATCTCTTGCCATTTTCAGAGCCACTTTTCATTATGAATCAAAGGGTGTGGTATGTGATACAAACTGTATAGCGATCAATCTCTTCAACCCGAAAAAAATCCATGGCACCCAAAGGTATTTTGCTTTCATAAAAGCTTCTAAGAGCTGTGAGGACGTGAAATCTCTATCGCCTGCTCCCAAGTTAGAGTTGCTGGGCTTTACCTTGCTGAGAAAAAGTTCTGAAATCTCGTATTATCTGTCCCATTGCTACTTTTCCCTGTCATCATCCGATTAAATAAAAACGGCAATGTGATTGTAAAACGTAACACAACGCTAAGGAGAAACGTAGCAGAGTAGAAAGTATAAATATTTGCTGTAAGATGTAATACAATAAAAGTGTTCCATAACGTTATATTTCAGATTTTTTTATATGTATTTTTACAATGTGCAAATACAGTAAGTGTATCTTGGGACTTGTTATTCAGACTCATCAACAAATGCATTGCCTTGTACTGAGTTTTCACAGAACCATCAACCCAAAACTGAGGATTATTAAGCAATGATTTTTGTGTACTGTTACACTCCTAATGCTTTCACATGGACAGACATTTCTATAGTGTGCAAATGTAGTGTTAACAGCTCACTTCGGTAGCCTACAGTATCATTGTACTGCTCTTAACAAGTCTGGGTTCTTACATAAGCCCTTCCAGCAACTGGGGGACAAACTTCTCAGACATCAGGTCCATTGAAACTGACCTACATCTTTCTATATGAGCAATTTTTAAACATGATTATATGTTGTTTTTATACAATTTAAACAAAAATCTTACCATCATGGAGTCCACTGGCACAAAATTTTTTCTGTGAAATTTTCAGCACACGATCTTCTCCTTGCTGCAAAATGAAACATTTTTGTTCAATACATAAGTAGTCAGTTATTACTGGTCTGAATGACCAGTACTGGTATCTTTACGAGCCCAGAATACAAAAGCATGAAAATAATAAAAAAGCAACAATAATATGTATTCATACATATTATGATCTAGATTAATGCACACGGAGTGACAAAAATTTATACATTTAGCACATAAAAGTCTAGGATCCATGACCTTTGTGCAGTCAACACAATGTATTTCTTGAGCTACAGGAGCTTTAGTATCCTGTATTTCTGTGTACTCTGTACTCTGCTTGTACAGTGGGTTGGAGAAAAGCATTTGCTATATGTAAATATATAAAAGCTCTCGTTGCAACACATACGGTGACATCTTGAGGCTCCAAATTGAATTGCAAGTTTGTAACATCCATTAAACATACAATCACAGCTATGATGATTCAATGTTTCCATATGAGAAAATAATTTTAAATGTACTGGCTTGAGGTGTCTCCTGTTGCTCGGTAGAAATATAAAATCCTGAATAAATAAAAAATGCCAAGTAATATACAGTCACCCCTCCAGATTTGAGAATTTGACAGACATTCGCAGTCTGTTTTTCATGACTTGGCTGTGAATAATTTTGGGAATAATTTTGGAGCTTGCCATATGATCGCAAAAGCTCACAGATGATGCATAAGCCAAACATATTTAAACAATACTGAAAATGATTTGGATCACATAAAATAATATATTTCTTATGTGGCACAATGCAGCATTAGAGCACTCTATTTAATATGATAAACTCATCTTAAGACTGGGGTATGTCCCAAATTCACTCAAACTTGCTGTTGTCAGGCCAGTATTTAGGAAACCAAACCTGGATATTATTTTTTTTTACTAATTTGGCTAATTAGAGACCTATTTCTAACCTTCGCTTTATTTCTAAAATCTGAGAAAAAGTAGTTGCTATTCAGCTCTCTTTTTACTAACAACATTAATGAAATGTTCTAGTCCGGGTTTAGGCCAAGTCACAGCACTGAAACTGCACTAGTGAGGGTCAAGAATGACTTGCTTTGGCTGCTGATAATGGTTGCATATCCCTGTTGGTCCGAGGATTTGAGGAAGCACTTCTTTACACAGCGTGTAGTTAGAGTATGGAATAGTCTTTCTGCTAGTGTAGCGCAAGATAAAACCCTGGATTCTTTTAAAGGTCATTTTAAATCCAAGCTAGATAAGATTTTAACAACTCTGAGCTATTAGTTAAATTCTCCCCAAACGAGCTTGATGGGCCGAATGGCCTCCTCTCGTTTGTAAATTTCTTATGTTCCTATGAGGATATGCAAAGGTCTGATACTGACTCAAATAGCTGCATCGAGTATTGTGACAATGGGGCAGATCTATGGAACCTATTATTCTATTATTGTATGTTATTTTACGTTTACAGCCACATGTGCATGTAAGGCAGCAGCAGTGCACCGGCAGACTCATATTTTGGTAGAAGGAGAGCTAACAGCTTAGATATAGAAAAAAACTCAGCAGTTTGCAGGTATTTCACACTTGAAGTTGCCACGCCAACAAGTCCTATCAGCTTATAATATCTGCAAAGCCAATGTTTTGAGGGGTGTGTTAGCACTGTAAATGATGGAACAACTAATTTATGGTTAATTTGGACCGTATACAACTAAAATATTTTATAGTAGTAGGCTCAGGTGATATTAAATTTCACACCATCCACACATTACACCACAGTATGCAGTATTTCAACAGTGTTTTAAAGAAAGAAACTCTATTCCGGTATTTTGAAATACCCAAAGATACAGTTTTACCAAAGGAAATACCATGGTATGCTGTGCAACCATTACACAGCCCAAGCCTATATAGTAGATATTTCAATAAATTTCTATTTGGTTCAAAAACATGATAATTATGTCTTCAAGTTTAAACGTGTACACCAAATGTGTGGTAACCATGGTATAAGCTAGTTAATGCACTCCAAGCCGCACATTATAAATTGCAAAGATTCTGAGGTAAAAGGGTATATACTGACGTCGCCCTGGGATTTTTTTGGTACTTATTTCCTGCCAAGTATTTTAAAATATCGCAAAGTGGTCAGATATCTGCATGTATTGCATGTATCCAATGCAGCAGGAACTGGCGGTGATTTGAGGGGTGACTCATGGCGCTTTTACACTGTTATACAGGAACCAACCTGTACCACAAAGGGAGACTAGTTACAGCAAGGTTTGGTTTTCTGCTGCAGAAGAGTCGGCTTGATAAAAGTGGGGTTTGGAAAGAGACAGTGAAGTAAAACTGAAGAGACACTTATTTACTGTTCATACATCATGACTTACTATGTGCGATCATTAGTTTGTTTTTTGTTTTTAATTAAACTGTGTGGTAATTTCCGCTAATGCATCTATGAGAATCGCAGTGTAATGCAATTAGCATTTGCTTGCGTAAATTTGCATTACCAGTCCATTTTGTTCAGCTGTTCTATAGTACTGTTTTAAGTAGGAGGTTGGACATTTTTCAGTTTTGGGATATTACTGGCACACTGCAATGTGTGAAATTACTACTAATAATATATAGAATACATGTGTTTTCCTTCAGATAATGCATGCACAAACAGTATCTCCGGTTCCAGCATTTCAACCAGTCAGATGCTGGTGATGCAGCCAGCTAGGATTGGTCACGCTTTCAGCCCTGCTAGCTGGGCCATGTCAGCACAAGTACAGGTCGAGTCAGTTCCTAGTGTGCAGTGGAAAAGCCCCATTAGATGCGCCAGTGCAGTGATGCACTTGTCGAAAATACCTCTGGTCTATTCCCTAAAAACCTAGATACATCATTTTTTTCTGTTTTCCAGAAAACAATAGTCTGCTAGAAGGCAACCTATTTTTGCTTACATAATCTATAGCCAGCCTTAATCACCCGATTAGTGGATGAAAATAATGACACTTTAAATAAAATCATTTTATCTGACCATAATTTAACAAGCAATGTTTTGAGAAAGGTAAGGACATTTTTATAGCATTTGTGGAACAAAAAGAGTTGGCAGTCTATTTTTATTTGGATACATTACTTATTCACAACCAAATGACCATTATGGTCAAGGTTTTCTTCCTCTGTAAAAAAAACCTTTCAATCTGCAAACTGAGAATCCTGATACGAGTTGAACAAAAGAACTCAGGTTTCAGGCAAAGTAATATAATTTCTTATTTCATATTTTTATAAATATGTGAAGGGGTGACTGTACATTCAATAAGCGTAAGAATTGATTACTTCTAAGATAAAAAAAACTCCCTCTTGGCTACTTAAAATGCAGCATTAAAATGCACAACCAGCCAGCACAATGAAAGGCCTGGTTTGGGTAAGTGTGCCAAAACATCTAGGTTTAAAGCATGCAAAACATACATAAAGTGTAAAACTGAATTTGAAAAAAAGGTTTTGAATTCATATGGCAAGGCCAACAGAGCACATTTTCAATACAGAAATATGCATGCAAAACCTGAACTTAAACACCTGTCATCATCATAACGGAACCGCATTCCACACTCAATACCAGATGTAATGTTTGTTTATTTTTTTTAAAAGACAGAACGACCCACACTTTACCTGTTCTTCATCCACAACAATGATGGGGAAGCCCATCTGTGTGGTCCAGGAGCTCATAACAGCACCCACTGGCTTCCCACTGGCCTCTTCCAGACACTCCCACAGGTGCTCTTGGAGGGAGACAGGGTAAGATGGGGTCAACGGCAAATAATGGTACCTCTCGAAAATCTTTCAATTTAACAAATTCAGTATACACTCTAAAAGCAAAAGTAACTGTAGTGTAAGAAATAAAGACCCAATATACAACCTGGAAACAGCATTCAAATGGTTTATTAAAGACAGAAAATCCAGAAATACATTACCCGTGGAAGCATTTTTATGCTGAAACTTCAGAAGGTAAGAGTTCATTCCTTTCCTAAAGTCCTGTAATAGTTACAAGAAAATAAAGACAAGCTACTTCATTTGAACTCAAAATATATCATTCTGTTATATGAAGAATACATATCACAAGGTATATTCATCAGTGGTTCACTTATAATAGGAGGATTTCAAACCAACAATGTTCTTTTAATTAATCCCTACTCACCACCCTGGTAGATCATTGCTAGAATTACTTGGTAAATTAACTGGAAATGTGAAACCCAATAAATGTATTTTTGCCCGAATGCTCAGAGTTCTAGTTGTGACAACATTGAAACTACAATTATTCATTTATTGCAGATCCCACATACATGGCAATTTGGAAAATATTTCCCTACTAATTAGGTGGTTAGCTGCATTTCTTTGTGCATGTCTTTAAAAAAACATTAAAACATAAAAAAAAAAACATTTATATTAATTACAATTGTAAATACAGTGGTACCTCAGTTCTTGAACTCATTAGAACTTGAATTTCTTAAAAGTCTAACCAGCCAGAACTACCTAGAACTCGATCTGAATCTCAGAAGTCAAACCGTGAACTCCGACCTAAGATAACTTGTACGCGCAGGGAAATGAGTCACGCAGCACGTCTCAGTGGAAACAAAGGGTCAGCATAGCTTTTGCTGTGTTAGCATCGTGCATGTTTATATTAGCTGAATACAAATATTTAGACAGTAAAAATACATTTAGACAATGATAGTAACAGTAATTATTATTATATAATAAAATACATTTAAAAATAAAGATTTCTTATTATTTTTATATTAATAATAAACCATTAATACATTTAATTATAATAATATTGTCGTGCCGAGCGGGGACGGAACGAAGACAAAGGCGCAGACGTCAGGGTATCGGGGAATATGGGGTTTAATTACAGGTAAGGTAGGCAAAACACAGACCGAACTGGGGAAACAAACTGAAAACGCAGACTAAATACAGAGGGCTAATGACAACAACCAGAAACAGCTGATCACACGGGGATTCCACACGGGGTTAACGAGGGGGCGTGGCACATGGAAGGAGTGGACGATCGGGGCAGGACCCCCGACCTGGACCACCTCCACCCCTTGGCTGTGCCTAGAAATTCTGTCCATAAGAATTATGAACAGAATTGGTGACAAAGAGCAGCCCTGGCACAGTCCAACACCAACCGGGAATGAGTCTGACTAACTGATGTCAATGTGAACTAAACTCTTGCTCCGTTTACACAGGGACCCTAATGGCCTGCAGCCACAGGCCCTGCACCCGACACTCCTGAAGCATCCCACACAGGACCCCCACGAAGGACATGGTCATATGCCTTTTCCAATGCCTTACTTATTAAAGTAAGAAAACTGGAATTGGCCAGGATCAGTATCGGCAGGTCAGGCAATACATTTCAGGCCAACTTCGAAATGTATTCAAATTGTTACGGAAGTTTACAGGCATAGGAATATGGAATACTTATTTTATTATACTAAACTCTAATACTGCATAATTTATTGTCACTGCTAAATAACTAGAAAATAGATTATGAAACTAATAAAAACTTTTTATTCTTCCTATTACAATGCTCCACCTCAGCACTTCAGTGACTAGCTGCTTAGGTTCTCGGACTAAATTAATCTGCCAGCCACTATGTCTATCAGAAATATCAAGACAAACTATCACTTATGAGTCTTTTACCAAAGCAGAACAGTTAGGCAGGTGATTACAGCAGAATGCCTGCTAATTCATTAGTAAAAGGCAAAAACGTCACTGAGCCAGAGCTAGTACAATTATCCAAGCAATGCATGCAGTGTGCTTTACATGTAGTGTGATGACTTCCATTAAGGGGCCTTCCCAGATAATTCATTAAATATTTGTTGAAATGACGCAAGAATTAATATATTTGATGTATATAGGGTTTCATCTGTAATGAATTAGCATGCATAAGAAAAAACACCAACACAACGCATAGTGAGGTACCTTGTAAATTTGATTATTCTGAGCATAGCTACAGTTCATTATGTTTAATAGGGTCTAACAAAAATATGCATACTGAGGATTTATTAACACTTAAATATCATTTTCAAGGAATAGAATGAAACAAGACTAACAAAAAGAGAAGTACCCTGTCCTGAATGCAATCATTTACATCTTTGCTGTTAAAATTAACTTTTCAAAATATGTAAGAAAAAAAGAATAATTACAAAAGACAGCATTGTCTCATGGAGGGTTAGGGTAAGAGATTGCCTATTGGCTGTGTAAGGTCAGTGTTGTCTCATGGAGGGTTAGGGTAAGAGATTGCCTATTGGCTGTGTAAGATCAGCAAGGTCTCATGGAGGC